CACACAAGACTCACCGGTGATCTCCTTGCGGAGTTCGTCCTTGCTGATATCGGCCATGTCTCCGGCAGTGCGCGCGTCACTCGGCGGCAGCTAGGCTCGCGTGCTTGTTTGTTTGCTTGCGTGCGTGCGTGCGTTGCGTTGCGTTGCGTTGCGTTGTGTTGCGTTGCGTTGCGTTGCGTTGCGTTGCGTTGCGTTGCGTACGTTGCGTGCGTGTGGTTGCGGACTATGGTGCCGTTGGCCTCGGGGGGAGAAGAGCAACGATTGCTATTACCGCTGTTAGCTTCCACTCTGCTCTGAACTACTCGCCGTTCTGCGTCCCACTGCCAACTGAGCCGCCAAGTGCGCGCCAGCCGGCGCCCGGCACCTCCACCGACTAGCGACTGTGTTCCTCGCCCCCCCCCTCATCATCCTCCTCCTCTTTCTATTCTTTCTCCTCTTCCTCCTCTTTCTCCTCTTTCACCTCTTTCTCCTCTTCCGCCTCTTCTTCCTCTTTCTCCGCTACCACCTCTTCCTCCTCTTTCTCCTCTTCGTCCGCTTCCACGGTTTCCTCCGTTTCCTCCGCTTACACAGTTTCCTCCTCCTCCTCCCGGCACCCCTTACCGACCACTTCGCTCCCCTCGCCAATCATTGCTTCGCTATTTAGGGTATCCTCACACAATGGACTTGAATTGGGAACAGCATGCACGAAATGGACTTCAAATACCGAATGCGAGCGTCACCCTCGTATGCATACATGCATGCGCGCGCGTGCATAAGTACGGGGGGGGGGAGTATGTGAAGTAGTAGTAACCGGGTCTTTAGATTTCCGAGGAGGAGCTCGTCTTCGAGACATAGGGTTCTCCTTCCCCTAAGCGACCATACGAACCTGGCACTGGCTACCTGTTCCGAGGATTTATAGTATACCGATGAATTTCTGCGAATATTACGCTGTACTTATGGTCCCATTGCCCCTTTTCATTTTTGATTCTAAACACACGAACCAGCCGATCGCTGTCCTTTTCCCGGTCTAGGGCAACTTAAGAAAACATGTAATGATAAATTACGCATTGCCTACCCATATTCGTCACATGTACTTTGATGCCACTCGGCGGGCATTACGAGTTTCAGGATAAATATTTGTAAGATTTTTCAAACTAGTTTCATGTTGAAAAATATAAATTGCATCAATTCATAAATTGAGTTATCCTTGATAAGTTCTTAGATCATTTCTTAAATTGTAAATTAGATTTGGCGAAATAATTTCATAATAATTTTATTTTCGAATTAAAAACATGTGTGATAAATATATCTAATTATAAACGACATAAGATTTTTCTGAGTTCACTCTCTTTTTTTTTAATAGCATTTTCTTTGGCTCCACTTAAATTGATTGTTTATGCCCTCTGTCAAATATTCAAGTAATGTTCTCGATTTTTATATGCAGCTTGTGTAACATGCACAGGTGTAATAAACTGAAGAGTTGTTCTTACGAATGTTGGATATATGACTGTAAGAATAAAATATTTTATACGTTACAGGCTCAATTATTTGTATAGAAATATATAAAAAAAAAAAAAAAGTTCTGTAAAAAAATGTGTCTACTAAAAGTAGCAATTGACATGATTTTTAATTTACAATAGAGGAAAATCACCGAGTAATTTGTGTTAAAAAAATTATGCTTAAATATTATGTTAAAGAAGAAATCAAATTATATTTTATAGCTTAAAGTACTGCTGCTAATATACTTTTTCATTTTCCTAAAATACAATTCAATGCTTTTAATAAATAATGCCTTTATAATCATTAAATAATGATATTGACATTAATTTATTTTGTAAAATACGATATAAAATATAAATAAGAATCTCCTGCATCATCTTCCGTATGACATTACCTGTCTTTCCCACATGACAAATTATAGTTTTAAAATTAATGGATTGAACATTTTTATTAAACATCATCCGATAAGTGTTTTCCTAATTTCTAAATTAGGTTGACATTATTTTAAATTTAATTAAAATATTTTTATGTTAATGTAGAGATTTTTTCGTCGGCAATAATTTTACTTCAAATATGTTGAAAGATATATTCAAACTGATTATACTATCGGACATCTTATCCTACGTCTTGCCTATTTTAAGACATTTTTAAAAAAGTTTGATAATTATATAACTTAAAAATATTAAGTAGTTATAATAATTAAAAAAAATATCGATAACATAATAAGTAATATAATTGTATTTTAAGTCAATAAGCCTCTCAAAGTCAAGTGAAAAATAGTTGAAAAAAAAGGAATTATTTATTAGTATAACCCATTGTGTATAACTCCACTTTATCGTCATTAAGCTCCCACATGAATTAAAATACTGTATATCTTTTTCTATCAGTGGGATATTACATTTCCAAAAAAATTTCATGGTTCCATTGTCTTCATCGATTATTTTCATAAGAAAATAATATACATTTACAGATTTAATATAGTTAAATATGCCTATTCTTTTACAATTAGATGCTTTTGTTTACTTCACATTTTATTTAACTGATTCTAGAAATATTAATGAAATACGTTACAATTAAATCTTTTATTATAATTTTATTTATTCTATAAAGCTTTTTTTCTGTATCGAGAAAAAAATTTTGAAAAATAAAACGACTGCTAATGTTAAGTTGATTAACCTATTAGAAACTTTCTTGCATCATAATCACTTGTAGGTATAATTCAATGTTTTTAATATTTCAATTGCATTTAATCTTGTAGTATATATAAAGCTCAAATTAATTTATGTACGTATTCATATTTCTAAAATCAATAAATAAAACTTGGTATAAGTATTTATAATGAAATTATGATTTTTTCAACTTTTGTCTCGTATCAAATATATAATTCCCAAATGTTATTCAAACTCTCTGACAAATATGTATAGTTTATGCAATTGAATCATACCTAGTTTGCAATTATATTAAATTTGACATACAATATATATACGCGCATGGATACGCGTACTTAATCACATATTTTTAATATAAACATTATTAAAAATTTGTTAAGAATTTTTAGAAAGTTTGATATCTTAAGAAAATTAACTAAATACAAATTTAATTTCTAATGATTAGTCAGTAATTTTATCAAAATATCTAATCTTTATCAATGTAGTACATTTACAGTACAATATATATTCTTATGATTTCATATTTCTTTTTTAATTCTCAGACATAGTATTATTGATATGATAAAACATCTTGCTTTCAACATCAATTATGAATTCACAACATTAGGATTCATTTTGAGTGAGATATGGTTTACATTATTGGTTTATAGTAATATAAAAATTGAATTTAATAGTACGAATAAAGTATTTATATACAATAGTTTTGAAATTCAAATAAGTTATGCAAAAATACAATGTGTTTTGCTTTAGCGAAATAGAAAGTTTAATTATTTAAAACATGCAGAAATAATTTGAGGAAAAATTTAAGCAACCACTGTGAGAACGCGAGTACAACTTTTTAGAATACAAATTTTCTTAATTATATTGTAAAGCTGTAATTGAATATTTGTATTGAATCATTACGAAACATTAATGAAAATACTACAAATATTCAAAATAACTGAAATTTGTGTTTTACTACAGAAAGCTTAAACTGAATGTATTAAAATTATTTCGAATAATTATATTTTTTAATAGTGATAATATAAATAACTATTACAGCGTATTGGATAGGTCGATATTATATATAGGTTTAATATTTTCAATGATTTATGTAAATTTTAAAAAATATAAAAATTTAAATAATACTAAAATAATGTTTTTTATTTACAGCAATAATGATTGATGAACATGTTTTTCCTAAATGCTTCGATCAGTTGTTGAAAAAAGATTGAAATTTTATAATACTTTCAAGAGGGTAATTTTTGCAAGTTTAAATTTTGGATTTTTTGATTTCTATATTTAATATTTAATATTTTCAAAATATTTTTTTATTTTTCATTATTAGTTTTAATTAATCAATTAAATTTGAAAAAGAGATGATATTTCTAATTTTCATTTATTATTCCCAAATTTATGTTCAGATGAGCTAAAAGAAATGTATACATATACCATATGTAATTTAACGACTTGCATCAAATAGTACTTAATTTTGTATTTTTATTTGTATTTTTACTTTGAGTTTTGTTAAAAGTTGATAAACATTCTCTTAAACAAATTTACAAAATAATTATCTTTCGTCTTTCAATACCTTTTATACAAATATATATATTATTAACATAAATATAAATTTACTGCAGAAATTATTATTCCATAATTGATTGTTACTTTGATAAACAAACTTAAAAATGAATTTAGTCTAAAATAATCTAAAAATAAGTTCAGTAACATTAGTCTAAAATATGTTTTGGGCATTCTTGATATACAAAAAATGAGATTATTTTTTGACAATTCGTTTTATGATAAATTTATACATTTTTTTTTAATATTAATTTTAATATCTAATTTTGTTAGCGTTCCTATTGATATACATTTATGTTGAATTTAATTTAATTTAAAATATTTATACAAAATAACATAAAATGCTGCATAAAAAACAATATACCAATAATATACGTTAACACACGTTAACTAAGTAGTTGAAATAAATAACTTTAGAAATAAAAATATACATTAAGAATATTTTTATTTATTATTTTAAGGTTCTTTAATGAAAGATTGAAATATAAGTCAGTTAAGAAATAATAATTCAGTGGTACAATGAATATAATATAGATAAGTTACATTTCATTCTGTTATATATAAAAAATTATGTCAAGAAAAATTATTTGATCCTCGATGTTTTAGATTGTCTCTCGTTTAATCAGTATGAGGAATAATAGCTAAAACTGGATATTTTAATATTTAATAGTTCTATTTCAATTTATAGAACGTTGCCCATCAATTTACAAGAATTAAAATTCTTGTATTATTAGATGAAATATTGGAAAAAGAACACAATTAAGTAATTCCTATTTGTTATTCATTAGCAGTAAAAATGGTAAATTAAAAAAATTTATTAAACCTAAAATTATACACAATGATTTGAAGTATATTATAATGAATAAACTTAAATTTGTTAAATAAAATTAAATTTATGTTATTTTTTATTCACATGCATTAACGTGTCTGTTCAGTTTTAATTATATTTAAAACTTAC